CTCCTGAATAGCTGGGATTGCAGGCATGTGCCGCCATGCCCAGCTAATTTTTGTATTTTTAGTAGAGATGGGGCTTCTCCATATTGGTCAGGCTGATCTTGAACTCCTGACCTCAGGTGATCTACCCACCTTGGCCTCCCAAAGCACTGGGATTACAGGCATGAGCCACTGCACCTGGCCTAATATTACTGTTTAATATACTTATTTTTGTGCACAGATGGAACTATTTTTGTACATAAAATTCTTAGGAATGGAATTATTGGAGTTAAAGAGTATATACATTTAGAAGTATAGGTAATGCCAAATTGCTCTTCAAAGAAGTCACATAAACGTGAATATTTCAGAGCTTAAGTAGGAGATACACAGGTGTTCATTATATTACTGCCCTTTTTTTTTTCTATGCTTGGATGGTTTACCCACATATGTACAAGAATTCACAATATTTACACTCCCATGAACAGTAAATAAACATGCTCTTATTTTCCCAATAGGCCGCTAACAAGATTTTAAATCTTTGTCCATCTGAAGGCTGGAAAATGGTATATCCCTATTGCTTTAATTGCATTTATTTAATCATGAGGGCAGCTGATCATTTTTTCAGTAAAGTGCTTTGCATTTCTATTAAGTCGTACTTTAACGCCTACAGATGGTTTCATTTTATACATGTGCCTTAATTTATTTAACGCTCTTCTTGTGGGTTATTTATATGATTTCTGAACAACTGTGAATATCTTTTTACGTGAAGCCTTTTTCTTTTCTCTTTTTAGACTTTTGTTTTCATTCTGCCATTCCAGAAGATGAATTGCCGGGTCAACAGTGTGGACATTTTTATGACTCAATAGATATTGTCAAATTGCTTTCTCAAAGGACAGTACAATATATAGTACCCCCAATTTTATTATTCTCTTATCAGCATTAGGTATTGTAAATGCAAATTAATTTGTTTCTAATTTTATAGGTAAAAATGAGGCCTTAATTTCATTTGTATTTTTCTTATTACCAGTGAGATTGCATATTTTAATATGTTTGTTTATTAATTGCATTTCACCTCTCTGAACTGTCTTCCTTTCTGCTTATTTACTGAAAGCACATGCCTATACAAAGGAAATAAGATGATATCTTATCAGGGAAATCTCTTTCCTCAGGCCCTGTGACCTTCTGGGAAATTATTGACTGATATCAGATTATCAAAGTCAATCTTTTTCGTGAGAACACTGGGGAGGGAGTGATTGAAAAGACTTAGGCGATACGGAGTGAAGACAGATGGAAGAACTGAATGAATAAGACTCTAGGTAATGATGTGGGTTGCAGAGATGAGGGAGGTGGAAAGAATTTATGAGTCAGGATGGAAATTTCATGGGCAGCATAGAGAATTTGCCAGGGCTCAGAGTTTTCCATCTCTCAGCTTCCAAATGGAGCTCTAGGTGACCCAGACAGGGTTAGGTTTCAGAATGCTCACCTAGACGTTATCATTTCTGCCATGTGCTACAGACTTGAAAACAGATTGGACCGAGGAAGGATTTTGCTTAAGCCTTAGATGAGCAGTTACTAAGTCCCATTCCCTTTTTTATCCAGATAGCCATTTAGTTTCACCATTGTTAACAATCTCTGTTAATTTGATATCTAGATTTGTTGGTATTATACTTTATATTTCTTTTATTACTAATTTTCATAGATTTCTTTGATCACTTTTCACGTATATGTATGTATACATATATGGAGTTAAAGAGTATATACATTTAGAAGTGTGATAGGTAATGCCAAATTGCTCTTCAAAAAAGGCACGTAAATGTGAATACTTAGGAGCTTAAGTAGGAGATACACAGTCCAATTTGTTTTCAAGTCTGCAGCACCTGTGACATTAGTGTATTTTATGTGCGGCTCCAGACAATTAGTCTTCGTCTAATGTAGCCCAGGGAGGCCAAAGATTGGTCACTCTGACATAGAGCTTAAGTGTAAGTATATACATGTGTAGTATCCACCCATACTATTTTATTACTATTTTTCATAAGTGTGTGTGTGTGTGTGTGTGTGTGTGTGTCTTCACCTCTTTTGGGGGGAATTGACTGTTCATGTTCATTTTTCTTTCTTTTGGATGTTTTTTATTGACTTTTTTTTTTTTTTTGGAGATGGAGTTTCGCTCTTGTTACCCAGGCTGAAGTGCAATGGCATGATCTCGGCTCACCGCAACCTCCACCACCTGGGTTCAGGCAATTCCCCTGCCTCAGCCTCCTGAGTAGCTGGGATTACAGGCATGTACCACCATGCCCAGCTAATTTTTTTTTGTATTTTTAGTAGAGATGGGGTTTCACCATGTTGACCAGGATGGTCTCGATCTCTTGACCTCATGATCTACCCGCCTCAGCCTCCCAAAGTGCTGGGATTACAGGTGTGAGCCACCGTGCCCGGCCCTGACTTTCTTTTCTTTTTTTTCGCTCAAGATCTGATGGTTTTATATATATATATATATTTTTTTTTTTTTGAGACAGAGTTTTGCTCTTGTTGCCCAGGCTGTAGTGCAATGGCATGATCTCATTCACTGCAACCTCAGCCTTCTGGGTTCAAGTGATTCTTCTGCCTCAGCCTCCTGAGTAGCTGGGATTACAGACATGTGCTACCACACCCAGCTAATGTTTTGTATTTTTAGCAGAGATGGGGTTTCTCCATGTTGGTCAGGCTGGTCTCCAACTTCCGACCTCAGGTAATCTGCCCACCTTAACCTCCCAAAGTGCTGGGATTACAGGCGTGAGCCACCACACACAGCCTATTTTATTGACTTTCAAGTAAACTCTATATATTAAAGTTATTAGACTGTCATATTTTTCACAAACATTATTTTTAATTTGCTTGCCTTTAATTTTGTTCATTTCACTTTTTTTTTCTTTTGAGATGGAGTCTTGCTCTGTTGCCCAGGCTGGAGTACTGTGGTGCGATCTCGGCTCAATAACTCTGCCTCCTGGGTTCAAGCGATTCTCCTGCCTCAGCCCCACCCCACCCCACCCCACCCAGCTAATTTTTGTATTTTTAGTAGAGACAGGGTTTTACCTTGTTGGCCAGGTTTGTCTTGAACTCCTGACCTCAAGTGATCTGCCCACCTTGGCTTCCCAAAGTGCTGGGATTAGAGGCATGAGCCGCCACACCCGTCATCACTTTTTGTTATTGAAATGCACAATTGAGCTTGTCTAGCCTGTGGCCCACAGACTGCATGCAGCTCAGGATGGCTTTGAATGCTGCCCACACACATTTGTAAACTTTCTGAAAACATTATGAGATTTTTTTGTGATTTTTTTTCACTCATTAGCTATTGCTAGTGTTAGTGATGGCAGCGGTGGCCCAGCTGCTGCCATGACGCTGGCTGCAGATGGGGAGGTGTAGCCAGGGCTGCTGGCTCCACGGAGCCAGTGAGAGCTGAACAGGCAGAAGCCCTGCTCCCTTCCAAGTTGGAGGGGTGGGAGTCCTGCCCTCCTGGGACAACTGTAGCCATCCAGCCACAGCTGCACATCCAGGCATCTCTGCACTCTAGGGGCCCAGGAAGTCCCCCTGCCCCTAAAGGCTCTGAATTCACTGCTGTCTGGCCTCTCCCCACTCCCAGCACCCACTCCAATTTTGGAGCAAAGTTGTGGCTGAGCCCAGGTGCTGTCATGACTCAGCTGGGTAGGTGCATGCTCAGGGCAGTGCTAAAATGCCAGCCCCCTACTACTTCAGCCTCCTCCAGACTTTGAATACCAATAAGCAGGGGAGGGAGACCAAGGTGGGTATAAGAGCGGCTAGGGCAGGTCTGCAGGCACCCCTTGGCATGAACAGTCTGGGCACTGTGGGCACTGTGGATGGCAGGTTAATGACGGCAGGAGACAGGCTCCTGGGCAGAAAGGGGCAGGTCCCAGATGAAACCCCACCTTCAGGCCAGGGATAGCCTGAGGGCTGGAGGCCAGGCAGACAGTTATGCCAACCAGATTGAGAACTTAAAATGCTTTTCTGGGCCTGCTCATGGCCACTCATGGGCCAATCAGCACATACTTCCTCCCCTCTGAGGCATATAAAAACCCTGGACTCCGTCAGACTTACACAGATAACCTATCTGTGGAGCTACCCACCATGGGTCTCCTCTCTGCTGAGAGCTGGACACTTGTCAGGATGACCTGCCTGTGAAGAGGAGCTACCCACTGCGAGACTCCTCGAGCTGCTCTATCACTCAATAAAGCACTTATTCACCTTGCTACCCTCCACTTGTCTGCATACCTCATTCTTCCTGGACGCAGGACAAGAACTTGGGACCTGCTGAATGGCAGGGCTGAAAGAGCTGTTACAGAAACAGGACTGAAACATGTCCCTTGCTTGCCACATTACGGAAGATGAGAAGGAGAGAAGAGAGAAGGAGCCCTTTGGGGAACCCAGACCTAGGAGCTCCCTGAGCCAGGGCTGTGACACCCTTTTTGGGGGTCTGCAGTTCTTGGGGTCTCCAAGCTTCTGGGCACCACTGCATTCCCCAGTATTGGCCATGGAAACCGCTTGCAGTATGCCTGGTCCAGCTGCAGCCTTGCAGGGAACCAGCACCCATGCCAGTGCCTGGAGCTGCCTGTCCCGCCACAGCTGGTGTGCCTGGCTGTGTGTAGCAGCCAGGCCCCATGCTCACTCACTCACAAATCCCTTGTCGCTCACACCTGGCTCACCCTTGGAAGGCATGGGATCCAGGCTGGTAGTGTGAGCCGAGCAAAGCCTGCCATGCTAAGTGGGCAGAACGAGCCCAGTGGGCCCAAGTAAAACTCAGCCAAAGGCGCCAGTGGCCACAGAGGTTTCTGGCCAGAAAAGTGACATCCCAAGGATCCTGTGACTTAGTGTATTTTATGTGTGGCCCCAGACAAATTATTCGTCTTCCAATGTATCCCAGGGAGGTGAAAAGATGAGTCATCCTAACATAGAGCTTAGGTGTAAGTTGGATGAATTCTGACAAATGGATATACCTGTATAACCCACATTTCTATCAAAATATGTAATACTTATTGACGGGTGGGATGATCCTTACCTATTCCTCCTTAAGAAGGGCAGATAGAACACGATGATTGGAGATGCATGAAATGTGATTAATGCCTCTGCATAATCAGGACTTGAATACCCTGAGCATGCCTATCTGATTGTTCATGACAATCACTACTTTGAAGAAAAAATAACATATATATAAATATTTCTATTACCCTAGAAAGTTTCCCTGTGCTCTCTTCCAGTCAATCCTCACCCTCTCACTGCTCTGCCAGAGGCAACCACTGCTCTGATTTCTATCACTGTAGATCAGTCTTGCTTCTAGAATTTCATGCAAGTGGAATTGTAAAGCATGGACTTTTCTGTGTCTGTCTTCTTCCCCTCAGCATGATGTGTTTGAGATTTACCCGTGTTGTTACAGTTGATACGCTCTTCCTTTTTATTGCTTATTGATACTCCATTGTATGAACATAGCACAGTTCTTTTATTCCTTCTCCGGTGGGCTGACATTCGGGTTGTCTCTAGTATTTAGCTATTATAAGTAATGCTCCAATGAACGCTTTTGTACAAGTCTTTTTGTGAACATATGTTTTTATTTTTTGGCTTAATATCTAAGAATGGTTTGCTGGATTATATGGCAAGTGTATGTTTAACTTTTTTTAGAAACTGCCATACTGTTTCCTAGAGTGATTGTACCATTTAACACTCCCCCAGTAGTGTATGAGGTTCCAGTTTCTCAGTATCTTGCCAACATATGGTGTTGTAAGTTTTTAAAATCTTAGTCATTCTAGTGGACTGTAGTGGCATCTTGGTGTAATAATGATTTCCATTTCCTTGATGACTTAGGATGTCAAACGCTTTTTCATGTACCACAAAATATACCATATTGTGGTGTATTTGACATAGAGACTTTAAATTTTATGTAGTTGAATTCATTAACCTTTTCTGTTATGAATTTTGTGGATTTCATACTGAGAAATCCTTCCTTTTTTATAGAGATAGGGTCTTTCTATGTGGCCTAGGCTGGTCTCAAACTCCTGGCCTCAAAAGATCCTTCCACCTCAGCCTCCCAAAGTACTGGGATTACAGGCAGAGAAATCCTTCTTCATACCAAAAGCTAGTAAATATTTTTACTTTTATTTCCTTCTAGTCCTTTATTGGTTAAACTCTTAAACATTACATTCTTTAATCTACCTATATTTTGTTTTAAATTGCAAGTAAACTATTTGTCCTCAGGAAGTTAACCAACTGGATTGTATATTGAATAATAACTTCTTCCTTTTTTCACCTATTTGATCTACCACATTTATCTTAAACAAACTTTTAACATATAATTGGATCTATTTGTACAATCCCATTATTGTTGATTTTTTCCACCAATAGTACAGTTTCAATTACTAGGGTTTTAGAGTTTATTTATCATGTAAGCAAGTCTACCTTCATTACTCTTTATTTCTTCAAAAACTTCTTTCTTTGCCATTTCAGCTCATTTACCTGTCTCCTAACTGTGGAGGGCTAAATAATGACCCCTCAGAGATGTCCAGGTCCTCATCTCTGGAACTTATGAGTATGTTACTTTACATGAAAAGGGACTTTGCCGATGTGATTAAGATTCTTAAGAATCCTGAGATGGGAAAATTATCTTGAATTATCTGGGAGAGGCTCTATATAATCACAAGGGTTCTTGTAAAAGGGAGGCATGGGTGGCAGAGAGAGGAAACCATACAAACAAGGATTGGAGTCATGGGGCCACAAGCCAAGGAGTATAAGCAGCTTCTACAAGCCAGAAGAACAGGAAACAGATTACTCCTTGGAGCCTCCAGAAAGCACCAGCCCTGCCGATGCTTTGCTCTTAGCTCCTTAAGACTTATCTTGGACTTCTGATCCCCCTGTAGGAGAATAAATTTGTGTTGTTTTAAGCCACTAACTTTGCAGTTGTTTGTTACAGTAGCAGTAGGAAGCTAACACACTTCCTTAAAAATTATTTTTAAAATGATGTTCTAAGAGTTTTCTCACTGTAATTTTTACTGGAACTGCGTTGAGCAGAAAACTTAATTTGTGAAGAACTCACATTTTTATACTATTCAGTCTTGCTACTGAAATTTCCCCAGAAAGACATCTCCATGTCCCTCCACTTCTGCTCATTGCCTGGGTTTCTTGGAAGTAGACCTCAGGAAAAGGTTTGAGTACAAGTAGTCTATTTGGAAGGTTATTCCAGGAAACACACGTAGGAGAGTGAGAAAGCGAGGCGGGAAGGGAGGGCTGCCAATAAAGGGAGTGTTATCAGCAAGTGACCAACGTGGGTGACTGGTGTTTCCCCTCACCGGGGAACTCTGGGAACCCATGTAGATCATGCAACTCAGGGCTATCCAAGTTTTCCCTAGGGCACAAAGGCATCACCTGAGCATTGGGAATGGAGGAGCAGCTGGGTGCAGGTCACACCATCAGCCCTAGTGAGATCATCACAGGAGCCTCTCTCTGCAACCACTGGCTGTGTGGGCAACTCACTTCCCTGCTCTGAGTCCCAGCATCCTGGCATTTCTTGCCTCTAAAGGAGGTGACATTACAAAAAGGAATAAAACTGTCTAACTTTGCACAGGATGTTGCAGCCAGAACAGCTTCCCCGAGGAGGTGAGCTGCCTGCTAAGTGGCTAAACAGGTGTAGCAGCTGATCCTTCATCCCCAGCACCTTGATGGATACCTGATTTCCAAGCACGGCACCTGCATCTCTTTGCCCAAGGACTTGTTCTGCCTGACAGAGTCTATGGCAGGCCACAAGTGGTGGAGAATTTGTCCTCCCAGCAGTCTCCTGCCAATGACTGGCTGAGGTTGGTGTGCACATACTCCAGCTCTTTGCCCCTGGGAGGTCAGGGGTGGAGCACTTGGATGGAGGCATGAGTTTGACACCAGCTCCTAGAGTTCCCCAATGGACTAAAGCCTCACACTGCATCCTTTGCTGGCTGACTCACTTTCCTGCTCCACATCCCACTCTCCAACAGGCGTCTTCTGGGGTAGTGCTTACACCCGAATCCTTGTCTCATGGTCAGCATTTGGGGGAACCTAAACCAAGACAGTAGGTATGCATCAAAATGCTCAGAGGGGTGAGGTAGAGGCACACCAAACCTGGGAACCAAAGGCAGGCACCACTGGGCTGAGAGAGGGAGATTTGGAGCCTGGGGTGTGAGCTGAGAGGGTCTCGGCCCCTTCCTTTGCACCTTGTTTTTATGGCTCCTCTGGCCATTCCTTCAGCTTGGGTGGCTAGTCACCACAACTATTTGGGATCTGACCTGGAGACTGGGGTCTCAGTAGTGGTTCTGGCCCCTGGGCCAGCCCCTTGAACATCCAGGAGGAGTGAGAGTGTCTAGAAAGTGGTTTGTTTGGTTTTACTTAGGCAGCTGGGTCTGCAGGCCACCTGGACTTCATTTTGGTAGAAGAGCTGAGAACAAATGCTTCTCCATTTGGGAGAATTTAACTCATTTCTGAGAGGGGAGAAGCATCAGCAGAGATTGAGCTACTGCTCCAAGGAGGGCATTCGGCTAGTACCCTCCCTGGTAACCATGGGGATGGAGGGAGTGGGAGCCTGGCAGGATCCATATCCCATAAAAACGTTGGTGGCTGGATTGCAAGATGAAGGGCCTGCAGATACCCTCAGACAACGTGTAATTTATGGGGTAATCAGAACTCCTCCTGGAGGGCTGCGAGGGAAGAGGAGCCATGATTCAGAACCTTAGGGGCTTGGTTGTTTAATGAGGCACTGGGAGCCCATAAAGATTTAGATCAGAATGATCTGCCCTTTAGGATGCTGAGTCTATCTTAGCACTGCCTCTGAAAGGTGCCACTTTTTTGACTGCTCTTGGAAGTCTGGATGCTGGAATCAACTGTCCCAGCCTTTGAGGGGCACAATGTAAGGGCCCAGCCAAGGCATCTGGAGACTGAAAACTGTCAGCTGGCTGCCATGAGGGAACTGAAGCTGAGAGACAGTAAGAGTTTCAAGCTAGAAAGGTCTTTATCGAGGGGTAACTGAAGTCCAGGTGGTCAAGTGACTTGTTCAAAGTCACACAGTGCACCAGGGACCATTAGCACCAGTGATAAGTTTAGTTGGAAGAAAAAAGAAACTGCTAAAGTCTAGGCAGGGAGAAGAGTGGGCATGTTTCCTTCTTGAAATGCAGAGGGCAATCTACAGGGCACAAAAGACAAAAATAGTAGCTTTTGGGGTTTTAAAGCTTGAACATTTAAACTGCTTCCCTAAATGCAAAATATGTATTATGATCTTTGAGAATCTTTAATGGTTGGCTCAGCAATAAGAAGGAGCTTATTAATATTATTAATATGTGGCAATTGACTCATGAAATGCATTAAAAATGGTGCGATGGCTCACACCTCTAATTCCAGCACTTTGCAAGTCTGAGGTGGGCAGATCGCTTGAGTCAGTTCAAGACCAGCCTGGCAACATAGCAAAACCCATTCTCTAAAAAAACAAAAAAAAAACAAAAAAAAACCCAAAAAATTAGCCAGGTGTGTGGGTGTGCACCTGTAGTCTCAACTATTTGGCAGGTTGAGGTGGGAGAATCATTTGAGCCTGGGGAGGTTGAGGCTGCAGTGAGCCTCCATCTCAAAAAAAAGGCATCCAGGTGTCTAAGACACATCTAGTGTCTGGAAACACAGGGGCCTGAAATAAGATAGTGGTAGTTTGCTGCACTAAGGAATGAATGAGGCTGGCCCTCTCAGGGGGTCCTACCTGGTCTTGGGCAGGGAATCTTAATTTTTTTTTTCCTTTTTTGATTCTAAAGGAAATGCATGTTTACTGTAGAAAATGGGGAAAAAATAGACAATATGTAAAACAATTAAAAAATTACTCATTAACTCCCTCCAACCTCCCCCAAATAACTATGCTTTGTTTTTTTTTTGTAGATGGAGTCCCACTCTGTCACCCAGGCTGGAGAGCAGTGGCGTGATCTCAGTTCACCACAACCTCCACCTCCCAGATTCAAGCGATTCTCCTGCCTCAGCCTCCTGAGTAGCTGGGATTACAGGTATGCGTCACCATGCCTGGATAATTTTTGTATTTTTTAGTAGAAGCAGGGTTTCCCCATATTGGCCAGGCTGGTCTCAAACTCCTGACCACAGGTGATCCGCCTGTCTTGGTCTCCCAAAGTGCTGGGATTACAGGCGTGAGACACCGTGCCTGGACTCAATTTTATATTTTTAAAACTCTCTTAGTTTAAAGGACAATCTTCCATATAATAGAAGCTTATTATATAAAACAGAAATGAGAGGGAGGTCCTTTGACCAGGGCCAGAACCGTGCCAGGTACCCCTTTACCTCTTGCCATAATTATCAAGGGTCCTCTGTGTGTCTGGCTCTGGGCTAGGTGCTGGGGTTAGAATATGAGTGGAAATAGTTGGCACTTCCCTAAGGCCCCTTAGGCCCTTTGCTTGGGGGTGTTGGGGTGCTGCAGGGCATTGCTGACTGACCACGCTCAGATGGACAGCATCTGGCACTGACTCTGTTTTTATGATGGTCATTTTGTATATACTCTTTAGGGTGGCCCCGTGTTAATTGAATTATCCCTTCTAGGAATAGCCCTGATGGATTCTACCATGTGGCTTCTGAGTCCTGAGGTAGCTCCTAGAAGTCCCAAGACCTTGCAGGCCCCATCTGAAACCTGTAGCCTCTGTCTGTTCCGGTGACCCTGCAGCTCTTATACCACTGTTTATACAACTCATGCTGTGATTACCAGCAGCTGTGGGCTTCTGAGCTCTGCCTACAGGCTGGCACCGTGCTCAGAGCTCTGCGTGCATTATCCCACTCAGTCCTTACAGCTATTGGAGGCTCCTCTCAATATCCCCATTTTACAGATGAAGAAAATGGGGTTCAGAGTGCTGAGCACCTTACTTCAGCTTCAGTCCTCCTGAACCTGTGCTCCTGCTCACAAGACAACTGCAGACGCAGAGAGTTCCACTTAAAGCCTCTGCACACTGGCAAGCCTCAAGATTCCTACCACACATGGGCTGTGGAGGCCTTTTCTGTCCTAGGCATAGACTCCTCAGTGTGCCCAGCCCTCTGTGGACATACCACAGCATCTGCCTGCATCATGAAGGGGCTGTAAATGGAGCTTGGCTTGGGTGCACTGCTGGCTCCTTTTGGGGGCAGCCATGATTCTGACCTACTGCGTCTGGCTGATGGTGTGGGTGGGGACCAACCCACGTGTCTCTGTCTGGAATTTAGCAGGCCCTTGGCTGAGCTGAGTGAGAACAATGGCTGCAGCAGGATTGTGGCCACCGTTCCTTTGAGCCCAGGAAATGGGAGCATTGAGTCCTTTTGTCGGTTGTCACGAACATTTCAGCAACTGCCAGGGAGAACAGGTACATATGAAGTCTCTAACAGTTCCACCTTCCAAACTGGGACAGAGGATTGGGAATAAAGAGAGAGAATGCTTGAGTTTCTGTTCCGGTTCTGCTAGTGATGTGACTGTGGGCAGTTTCTATACCTGTAAAGTCAAGGTTTGGTTCAATGTGTGTGTGGAAGCTGTAGTGTGTGAATCGGTCTCCCTTCACCTGGCAGCTGGAGGTGGTTTGCTCGTGGCTCAGAGAGTCCTGCGTGTTCGTGAGACAGTTATTGTGTCTGTGGTTCATCCTGCTCACTAGCCTGTGACATCCCTGAGGGCATGAACCGTGTCTGATTCATCTTATCTGCGCCGCAGGGCCAGCCTCACGCTGTTCTGTGCCTCTGCGTGTCTGACTGAATGAGGGAATGAAGAGCCCTCTGGGTGGGGGCTGGCTGGCCAGGGTCACCATCTGTCTGCCCTCCCCCAGGACAGGCTGGGCTCCAAGTCTGGGAGGTGGGGGCTGGCTGTCAGAGGCACAGGCAGGTTTCCTGCGATGTCGTTACGATGTTACCCAGTGTAAGTGAGCTTTGTCTGGGTGATGCTAGACAATGGCACACTGCGCATCTGTTATCAGCTTGCAGATCTGTCTGCCTGGCCAGGCTGGGCTTCCGGAGGTCAGGGGCCCAGTTGGATTCCTCTGTGTCCACAGTGCCCAGCGCATGGTCTGGCACAGAGTTGGTGCCTAGTATGTGAGCAGAGGGGGTGCTTTATTGCTGAGCTTTGACCCTCATTTCAACCTTCATTCAGACAATTCCTTAGTCATTGTCACTGATAGCTAAGCTGGCAGGTGTCAGGCTTGCTTTGGGGGTGGGGAGAGTGAACAGAGATAAAAACAGACTTTGTTCTGACCCTTGCGGTACTCTAAGAGTGGCTGGAAGAGTCCAGAAGGTCAACCTAGAGTTATAGTGGACAGTGTGTGTCTTAGTCTGTTTGAGCTGCTGTAATGAAAATTCCATAATGGGTAGCTTATAAACAATAGCAATTTATTTTTCGGCCAGGTGTGGTGGCTCATGCCTATAATCCCAGCACTTTAGGAGGCTGAGGTGGGCAGATCACAAGGTCAGGGTTTCGAGACTAGCCTGGCCAACCTGGTGAAACCCCATCTCTACTAAAAATTCAAAAATTAGCCAGGCACAGTGTCGGGCACCTGTAATCCCAGCTACTTGGGAGGCTGAAGCAGGATAATCACTTGAACCTGGGAGGTGGAGGTTGCAGTGAGCCAAGATCGTGCCACTGCACTCCAGCCCGGGTGACAGAGCAAGACTCTGTCAGAGAAAAAAAGAAAAAAGGAAAGAAATTTATTTCTCACAATGCTGGAGGCTGGGAAGTCCAAGACCAAGGTGCGGGTTGGTAGATTCTGTGTCAGATAAGGGCCTATTTTCTGGTTCGTAGACAGCACTTCCTTGCTGTGTCCTTGCATGGTGGAAGGCACAAAGGAGCTCTCTGGGGCGTCTTTTATAAGGGCTCTAATCCCATTCACAAGAGCCCTGTCCTTATCACCTAATCACTTTTTTTTTTTTGAGACGGAGTCTTACTCTGTCACCCAGGCTGGAGTTCAGTGGCACAATCTTGGCTCACCGCCACCTCCGTCTTATTCAAGCAATTCTTCAGCCTCAGCCTCCTGAGTAGCTGGGCCTAAAGGTGTGCACCACCATGCCCAGATAATTTTTGTATTTTTAGTAGAGACAGGGTTTCATCATGTTGGCCAGGCTGGTCTTGAACTCCTGACCTCAGGTGATCCACTGGCCTCTGCCTCCCAAAGTGCTGGGATTACAGGCGTGAGCCACCGTGCCCAGCACTTAATCACTTCTTAAAGGCCCCATCTCTGAATAACATCACCTTGGGGGTTAGGATTTCAACATATGAAGATGCGGGGTGGGGGACACAAATAATCACAGCAGCGTGCTCCAGATGCAATGGAGGATGAACTGGGAGGCTGTGGGGGCACAGAGGAGAGAGAGAATAAACAGAAACATGAAGCAAGCTGCTGACACCGCAGGCCTTGGAGCCAGACTGTGCATGTTCAAATCCCAGCTGTGTCATGTGTTAGCTATGCAACCTTAAACCAATAATTTCATCTCTTTGTGCCTCAATTTCCTCATTTGCAAAACAAGTACCACAGGCAAGGGTCTTAGAACAGTGCTTGGCAGATAGTGAGTAGTCAATAAATGTCAGCTAAAGGAAGAAAGGCTTTCACCTTCAAACAGGCCTCCTACAAGATGCAGAAGAGGGATCCCTGGAGACTCTTAAGGCCTTTGTCTGTGGCCCCTGTGCACATAAGGATCCCAGAGCTCTGCCACCTGTTTGAACGCTGCTGATCTAGAGACAAACAGAGGCCCAGAGAGGGGCCAGTGCTTGTCTGAGGCAACACAGCTAGGAGCAGAGTCAGGACTGAACCCAGGAGCTCCTGCTGGCCAGCCTAAAGTACCTTTCTGTTAACCCAGCCACCTCCCTTGTAAAAGTCCCACATTTGTGTGTCATCTGCATTGATCATGCAAAGCCCCACATGAAATGTGGCTGGATGTTTTGCAAAATAGGACCCAAAGCAGGTGTGTGAACTAACTTATATTGATCACTGTACTAGCCAGAGATAGGCTGATCTGCCTGGAATTTTCAAACGTGTTTCTTTTTTAAGTGAATGATTTGGTTGGCTTTTGCCATTTAAAAATGTATCCAGAGGCATGGGATCAAATGCCTTCCTCTTCCTAGGCTAGATTTCTTCCAAACAAAAGGGAGCCTGGTTTGTCCTTTTTGAGAATCACCTGCTCTCCCCGCTCTTATAAAAGCTACCCTTCTTTATTCTGTGCCAGGACTTAGAGGCCTCTGTGGGTGTCTCCCCACCTGACCTCTCAGGCTCCCGCCATCCTCATCTCTTTCCCACATTATCACAATAGTCTCTTCCCTGTGTCCTGCCATATAGTTTGGCTGCCTCCCATTCTTTCTCTACAGTGCCGCAGTGTATTAAAAAGAAATCTGTTCATACCATTTCCCTTCTCCACTTCTATGGCTTCCCACAATCTGCAGAGGAAAAGCCACAGTCCTTAGTTTGTCATTTAAGATTACTTATGATCTAGCCTCAGTTTATTCGTTCACTTGCCTCTTTCTTCCTAGACACATATCGTTTGTACCCTGCAGATAAAGCAGGAGGAACCTAATTGTTCAGACCTCCTAGACCACGAAGGTTGCTGCAGTTGAGCTCATAGGTTCCTAGCAGTCAGGGCTTATATTTGTTTCCTATGACTGCTGTAATCGGTGAACTTAAACCTAGCAGCTTAAGCCAACGGAAATTGATTCTTATAGGCTTTGGAAGCCAGAAATCCAAACTCAGGCTTACAGGACTGAGTCACATGCCCTCAGGATGCTGCAGAGGAGAGTCCATGTCCTGCCTCTTCTGGGTTCTGGCATTCCATTCCTCGGCTTGTGGCTGTACCACTCTAGTCTCGTTGCCATGGTCACTTTGCCTTCTTCTCTGGTGGCAAATCTTCCTCTGCCTCCCTCTTAGAAGGACATTTGTGATTGCATTTAGGGTCCTCCTGGATAATTCAGGATAATCTCTCCATCTTAGGATCCTTAATTAATTAATTAATTAATTTATTTATTTATTTTTTGAGATGGAGTCTCTCTTCA